CCAAAGCCCATTGTAAAATTCTGTTATGGCCTAAGATGCGTAGAATAAATAACTATTTCGATGACACTTTTACTCATTATAAGTAGATAAATATTATATATCTACATAATCTTGCAATCTTGTACATGTATTTCAAATGGTAAACAAGACTAACACTGCAGGTCTACTGTCTCCCTGGGTACGCGAACACTGTCTGGTACGGTCCGTATACCGGAACGTACCCTGTACTATCTAATATCCGGACCGTACCTCGCCACACTCCACTAACGAGTGAGGAAGTACGCCTACGCCTACGCCCTAACCCTAACCTAGACCATATCAGATAGTTACCCAGGACGTTCCGCAGTATCCCAGGCGAGACCCATAGACCCTATCAGCAAGTTACGCACACATACTGTCGTTAAATAACCAAAGGTGATTTTTACTCTTGCTCAGGTCTCAGCGTCAACGAGTACGTAATAGCTCTAGACTAGTCAAATTATGCCTTTATATAGTAGTCGCTCAGCGAGATGAAGTGATCCGACTAGATGGCGCATTATGGACGTGTTGTGGATATAGAAATCAATTAATCACCCTAAACCTAAACCCTAACACCTGAATTCTAAATAAAACAAAATTAACCACAAAAATAATAAAATAAATAAGAGACAAAATAGCCAACAGAAGTCGTCCCCTAGCGGATCACTACCTCTCCCTTGTGCAAAATTTCTTATTATAGCTCCTTCCTCCTGCGACGGAGCGAAGGTCTACTCAATAAGTACGAGTACGTATACGTACCAGGAGTTAAGTAAAGACAAATTGTCTTTATTAACTCCTGATAGGCTGATACGTACGTATGTAGTATTACGAGAGCCCAGATGAGACTCGCTCATAACTTAAGATTAAGATGAAAATAACACATTTAACACAAAGAATTGAATTATAGTGATATGATATATTTATATTAATAGTAAAATGTGTGTTTTTCATACGAAAATACATCAGAAAACTTCACTTATCTAACCGATCATAAACTAAAACAAATTATTACAGATGGCGTTTTGTTCTCTGTTGAAAGGTTTGTGAGTCGAAGCAAATCAAGAAGCAGCAAATCAGAGGAGCCCAATGGATATAACGTGTAGGAAAAATAAATTCGCGAGCCGGCGTCTATGAGTTCAGGGACACGAGTCTGCCCTCCACTGTAACCCCCAGTACCTAGTCTTTATGTGCCGGTGCCACGCTGAGGCAAATACTAGTAATCGTTACCGAGTTACGCGAAAGTACGTGAGTCACTGCCGGGAGAGACTGCCGGGAGAGACAGCACCTGGCTCCCTCGTGCAGTGTGCGAGAGTACGTACGTACGCATGTCACGCGCGTACGCCCCGAATGTTCAACTCATTGGCACTTGGACCGTTGGAAAAAGCGCGATGAATTTACTACCAAAGTCTTAATGTTTATCTATTCTTTTTCGCCTACTATAAGCCAGTTCGTAGTTACAGTCTGCGCATGCGCGAACTTTGCCACGAATTCTTCCGGGTCAGGTCATTTGTGACAAAATAGTTCGTATTTCGACAGCACAATACACATACGCATCTGATACGCATGCATCTGTGTGACTGTCGTTGCAATGCTACAGTCTTCGCGTGTGCACGTACACGTGCGTGCGTGCATGTGCAGGTATATGTTCGTTCGGAGTGCTGGCGTGCGTGTACACGTACCGTGCGCGCGTACGTGCGTGTACACGTGCGTGGTTGCGTGCGTGCGTGTGCACGTATACGTTCGTTCGGGTGTGCGTGCGTGTACACGTACCCGTGCGCGCGTACGTGCGTATGCACGTACACGTGCGTGCGTATGCACGTACGCGTGCTGCGTGCGTGAGTGTGCACGTACACGTGCGTGCGTGCGTGCGTGCGTGCGTGCGTGTGCACATTTACGTACGTGTGTGCGTGCGTGTGCACATTTACGTACGTGTGTGCGTGCGTGTGCACGTACATGTGCGTGCGTGCATGTGCACGTAACTGCGCTGCGTGCGTGTGCACGTACACGATGCGCGCGTCGTGTGCACGTACACGTGCGTGCGTGCGTGGCTGTGCACGTACACGTCGTGCCGTGCGTCGTGTCAGTACACGTGCGCGCGTGCGTGTGTACGTACACGTGCGCGCGTGCGTGTGTACGTACACGTGCGTGAGTGCGCGCGTGCGTGTGCACGTACATGTGCGTGTGTGTGTGCGTGCGTGCGTGCGGGCGTGCGTGTGGCACGTACATGTGCGGCGCTGCGTGCGTGCGGTGTGCGCGTGGCGTGTGTGCATGTGTGTGCGCATACACGTGCGTGCGTGCGTGCGTGTGCACGTACACGTGCGTGCCCCGTGCGTGCCGTGCGTGTGTGCACGTATACGTACGTGCGCGCGTGCGTGTGCACGTACACATGCGTGCGTGCGTGCGTGTGCACGTACAGGTGCGTGCGTGCGTGCGTGTGCACGTACATGTGCGTGCGTGCGTGCATGTGCATGTACACGTGCGTGCGTGTGTGCGTGCGTGTGCACGTACACGTGTGTCGTGCGTGCGTCGTGCGTGCGCTCTGCACATACACGTGCGTACGTCTGCAGCAATACGACGTGCGTGCGTGCGTCTGCGGTGACTGACTGGACACATTTTCACACGGCGATTGAGTCGCCCGACTGAGTCGCCCGATAAAATCGCCTAGTGTGTCCGGCCCTTTATGCTAGGCGGCACACGAGCGATTTTATCGCCGATCGCGGCGATTAAAATCTCCACGAATTTAAGCGCCCGATCACGAAGGGGCACGACGTAGCGAATTTAATCGCCCCGCATTTTAACATCAACATGAATCAACACACGTCGATTGGTTTAGAAAAGCGATCGGGCGACAAAATACGCCGGACACGGCACACGAGCGAATTTGCCAGCGTAAATAATGCCGGCGTAAATAATCGCCCGAAAATATCTAACTTTTGGATACGGCGATTCGTTGCGGGCGATTAAAATCGGCGTCGACGTGAACGGGCACACGGCAGCAGCGAATTTTTCGACGATTTTAAAATTCGCGGCGATCGGCGATAAAATACGCTCGTGTGCACCATACCTTTAGAACCAAGTAAATATATTGTGGCTGAATTTGCTCTAAAAGTTGTGGCTATCGTTTTTTCTGAGCAACGCCGGGTACCCGACTAGTTATATATATATAATATATATATATATATATTACTATATCCTATTATCTACTCCTGATATATATATATATATATATATATATATATAGTTCAACACACTTAGTGTTTGTGATATTGAATATCACGTTGCAATCCTTCTTCACATACAGTACTTAATAGATTTCCCCATCTCTATGCTAAATTTGTTTTCGTTCTTTTGTTTACTAGCTCCGTCGAACTTGAAGATGATGTCTACCACAGCAGAGACAAGCAAGTCGGTTTTCCGCTTGTGGAGAATGGGAAATCTGCGGTAGTATTATGTGCTAATTGTTAGCATGTTTTTTCGTAATGCGTAAAAACTAGCACGCTAGTGGATATTATAACAGTAAGAAGTCACTAGAGTGGCAGATATACCTAAATTGCAAATCGATAGCGAAATCGATTGATCTAACCACACTCAGGCTCAGCGTAGACTGTTTACGTACGTTTTGTTGAAGCAACATGGGGACACAGCGCGTGTGGAATCGTCTGGCGTAATATAGTGTCACCGGGAACGCCGTTGCTGTTAGTTTAGTCGTGCGATTAGTGTGGCATCACTGCATGAGTGGTGATTTACTATAGCCTGCATAATTATAATGTACCTTAGCCCGACAGGCTGGCGACCGGAGTCTTCTAACCCTAGCAAGACCGTTTTTTGGAGCTAAATGTACCTGTAAAAAACACTACAGCTTCCTACAGTCGCAATTAAACAGCTGTGACACAACCATTTTATCTATTTTGTGCGTTTTTTCATTCAATGAATTAATTCAATAAAAATAAGACAAGCAAATTAACATAATAGTATACTCTCAGCATACAGACTTCGTACAACGAAGATATAGCATTTTATCGTGATTTTTCTAAGGCTTTTGCAAGACTAAAAGTCGATTTTCCAGGATTCGAGATATATAGGCCAAAATACAATCTTTAATTATTAACAACAGTGAGTAAACAAAAATATGTCAATCAACCAATAGCTATTCCCCCCCCGGGATTAAATCTAAGGGGGCGGAGGGGCGGGTGCATATGTTGTTGGCATGTTTTATCGACTTGAAACAGTCCTGCTGGTTTAAATAAAGTAGCCTTCTAAATCTTAGGGGGGGCGACCCCCCTCATCGCCCCCCCCCTGGCTACGCCACTGATCTGTAGACGGATATAAACAGCGACGCTTTCGAGCATGCGCAGTGCACCACAGCGTGCACACACGGCGTGTCTTCTGCAGCGGTTACGGAACGTTAGTACGCTATGTGTTAGTACTCGATATGTTAGTACACGGATGTGTTAGTCGCTAGCTACGTCGCCAGCCACTCATCAGCTCAAGTACACGACGCAGCGAAAGCAATAGCAATACTGCCAATAGCAAGAGCGTGCATGATAATAGCCCAAGCCCCGTGTTACCGTGTACAGCAGGAGGAGCGAGACAGGAGGCACCTCTCCTCGACACGAGCGAGTAAACACGACCATTCTCAGCATCGGATCGCGTGTGTTTGCACGGGTTCAAGGATAGAGATGATGTCCAGTACGGTGATTGGATAGGATGATGTTAGTTGATAAGATAGGACTGGACATCTTCTCTATCCCTGAAAAAGGATAGAGATGATGTCCAGTACGGTGATTGGATAGGATGATGTTAGTTGATAAGATAGGACTGGACATCTTCTCTATCCCTGCCGTTTGCACGCACGCCGGCACACCCTCGTGGGTAGACCCTACTCGTGGACGTAGCGGCACGCGTGACCGGTTTCTGCTCCACACTAACGTCACAACGAGCGCCACCAAACTCGCAAATCAGAAAACCATATATGTACTCACCTCAAACGTCAACACTGTCGGGTATCGTTTTCGAGAAGACGGCGATGCCTAGCGTGCAGCCTGTGGCGACTGTATGTATGTGGAAATAAAGCACGGTGGAAACTGCACGCGGTAGACTGGGATGTGGTAAGGTATAGGCAGCGAATGCAACTCTGGTATAGGTGATTCCGATGACGGCGCAGCGCCGTGCGCATGCGCAGCCGTCGCGTATAAATTCAGATCGATATCTGCGTGGTGGAAAATTACCGCGTCACACAGCGACTGTCGGCGAGCGGTAGTCGCAGACGACGCGTGCAGGCACACGGAGCGAGTACGGATGTACTTAGCTTGCTTACGAAACTTAGCTGTGATCACGACTGCTATTCGACGGCGGTTTGCGCAGGCAGCGCACCTATATTTCACAGCCGATGTTACTCCATGTGATACTCCATTAGGAGTGTTCCCAACTTTAATGTCATTAATGGTTAGGGTTATGATATAGGTTAGGTTAGGGTTAGGGTTAGGGTTAGGATTATCAATCATTAATCATTAATGATATCAAAGTTGGGAACACTCCTAATGGAGCGTTATAGACATTTTAATGAGGAGGCGCGTGCGGGGGTAAGTATAGGCGCGTGCGGGGGTAAGTATAGGCGCGTGCGGGGGTAAGTATAGGCGCGTGCGGGGGTAAGTATAGGCGAATTATATAGGAAGCGGGTCTAATATGACTCTACGGAGAAGGAATATCACGCAGAACAGTTAGATGGAGAGAGGAGGAGAAAGATGAGGGGTGGGAGGAGTAGGAGAAAGATGAGGGGTGGGAGGAGTAGGAGAAAGATGAGGGGTGGGAGGAGGAGTAGGAGAAAGATGAGGGGTGGGAGGAGGAGTAGGAGAAGATTGAGGGGTGGGAGGAGTAGGAGAAGAGTGAGGGGTGGGAGGAGGAGTAGGAGAAAGATGAGGGGTGGAGGAGGAGTAGGAGAAGATGAGGTGGAGAGTAGGGAGAAAGATGAGGATGGAGGAGTGGAAAAGATGAGGGGTGGAGGAGTGAGGAGAAAGATGAAGGGTGGGAGGAGAGTAGGAGAAAGATGAGGGTGGGAGGAGTAGGAGAAAGTGAGGGGTGGAGAGAGTAGGAGAAAGATGAGGGGTGGGAGGAGGAGTACGGTAAGGGTTAGGAAATGTGTGGAATAAAGAAAGGTAGGCGAAAAAAGGAGGAGGGCAGAAGAAGAAGAAGAAAGAAAGATGAAGAAGAAGTAAGAAAGAAGAATAAGAAGAAGAAGAAGCAAGAAAGAGAAGAAGAAGAAAAAAAGAAGAGAAGAAAAGAAGACGAAGAAGAGAGAAGAAGTAAAAAAGAAGAAGAAGAAGAGAGAAGAAGAAGAAGGAAGAAGAAGAAGAAGAAGAAGAAGAGAAGAAGAAGAAGAAGAAGAGAAGAAGAAGAAAGAAGAAGAGAAGAAGAAGAAAAGAAGAAGAAGAAGAAGAAGAAGAAAGAAGAAGAGAAGAAGATGAAGAAGAAGAAGAAGAAGAAGAAGAAGAGAAAGAAGAAGAAGAAGAAGAAGAAGAAGAAGAAGAAAGAGAAGAAGAAGCAGAAGAAGAAGAAGAAGAAGAAGAAGAAGAAGAAGAAGAAGAAGAAGAAGAAAGAAGAGAAGAAGAAGAAGAAGAAAGAAAGAAGCAGAAGAAGAAGAGAACGAGACGAACGAAGAAGAAGAGAGAGGAAGAAGAAAGAAAAAAGAAGAAAGAAGAAGAAGAAGAAGAAGATGGAAAAGGAGATAGAAGCCCGGGGGGGGGGGGGTCACTATAATATGCCGGTATTTACCATGTGCGTTCGCAAATTTCCCTCGAATCGTTTCAAGGTCAAGGCACTGCGCCCACAGTATGGCCCCCCTCACGGGGGCCGCTCATCGACGAACACATATGTACCCACCAAGGCCTCGAACGGGCGCCCGTAGCACACTGAAACTTACAACGCGCCGCTAAGACAAATGCATCAGTCTAGAGGAGCAGATGAGGCAAGACCTCTCATAGGGGGTAGGGTCCGGGTAGGAACTCTTTCATTGTGTATGAGATAGGGTGGGATTATTTTCTATTGGTGTATGCAATAGGGGGGTGGTAGCTTTTAATTGTGGTCTGCAATAGGAGGTAGGGTTTTCCAATGTGCAGTTCGCACTAGGGAGCCTATTATTTTTAGTGAGAACGCACATGGTGTAATACCGGCAAATATAGTGACCCCCCGGGAAGAGAAGGAGGAAGAGGAGAAGGAGGAGGAGGAGGAGCAGGGAGGGAAGAGAATGAGGAGGAAGAATAGTGTGTGAGAAAGGAGAGATATAAATGAGGGTGGGGTTAAGGAGCGAGAACAGAAAGAACTACAGAGCAAGCATTGTAGCAGGGCAATGACCATGCAGTGTACGCATATGGTTACCGCGTGGGTAGGAGCTGTGGGGTGACCGGGTGGGGCGTGGGAGGGTAGGAGCTGTGGGGTGACGCGCGGTGGGCGCATGAGGGTAGGAGCTGTGGGTGACCGGTAGGGCATGAGGGGTAGGAGCTGTGGGGTGAACGGGTGGGGCACATGAGGGTAGGAGCTGGCTGGGGGGTCGACCTGGTGGGCGTGGGAGGGGTAGGAGGCTGTGTGTGACGGCCGCGGTGGGGGTGCATTGAGGTAGGAAGCTGTGGGGGGTGACGCGGTGGGGTGCATGAGGTAGAGCTGTGGGGTGACGCGGTGGGCGGATGAGGGTAGGAGCTGTGGGGTACCGGGTAGGTGCGCATCGAGTAAGGAGCTGTGGGGTGACCTGGGTAGGGCGCCTGAGGGTAGGAAGCTGTGGGAGTGAGACGGCGGTGGCGGCGTGGGAGGGTAGGAGCTGTGGGTGACCGGGTGGGGCGTGTGAGGTAGGAGTCGTGGGTGACTGGTGGGGGCATGAGGGTAGCGAGCTGTGGGTGACCACGGGTGGGGTGCATGAGGGTAGAGCTGTGGGGTGACCAGTGAGATAGGGCGCATGAGGGTAGGAGCTGTGGGGTGACCGGGTGGGGCGCATGAGGGTAGGAGCTGTGGGGTGACCGGGTGGGGCGTGGGAGGGTAGGAGCTGTGGGGTGACCGGGTGGGGTCCTGTGAAGGGTAGGGTGGGTGAGGTGAACGGGTCGGGGCGTGGAGGGTAGGAGCTGTGGGTGCGGGTGGGGCGTGGAGGGTTACGGGAAAGGCTGTGGGGTGACGGTGGGGCGCATGAGGGTCAGGAAGCTGTGGCGATGACCGGGTGGGGCGTATGAGGTAGGAAGCTGTGGGGTTGACCTAGGTGGGGAGCAGAGGGTAGGAGCTGTGGGTGACGCGGTGGGGCGTATGAGGGTAGGAGGCTGTGGGGTGAACCGGGTGGGTTGGCGGCGGGCGGGCGGTGGTGAGGGTAGGATGCTGTGGCGGTGAAGGGTGGGCGTGAGGGTAGGAGCTGTGGGGGTGACCGGGTGGGCGCTGAGGGTAGGAGCTGTGGGGGTGACGCGCGGGTGGGCGCATGAGGGTAAGGAGCTGTGGGGTGATCGGTAGGGCGCAATGAGGGTGAGGGAGCTTGTGGGGTGACCGGGTGGCGTGGAGGGCTAGGAGTGGCTGTGGGTGACGGGTGGGCGTGTTGAGGTAGGAGCTGTGGGGTGACGGGTGGGGCGCTGGGAGGTAGGACGCCTGTGGGGTGACCGGAGTAGCGCTGGAGGGTAGGAGCTGTGGGTGACCGGGTAAGGCGCATGAGGTTAGGAGCTGTGGGGTGACCGGGTGCTGGGGTAGAAGGCAGGGAACGGTGACATGAGGGTAGGAGCTGTGGGTGACGCGGGTGGGCGGTGAGGGGTAGAGCTGTGGGTGACCGTGGGTGGGGGGCGCCATGAGGGTAGGAGCTGTGGGGATGACCGGGTGGGGGTGGGGGTAGGCCTGTGGGGGTGTACCGGGTGCGGCGGCGGCCCGCGGTTGGGAGGGTAGGAGCTGTGGGGTGACCAACGGTGGGGTGCAATGAGGGTAGGGAGCTGTGGGGTGACATGGTGGGTGCGCATGAGGGTAGGAGGCTGTAGCGGTGAGCGCACGTGGGTGGGGCATGAGGTAGGGAGCTGGGGGTGACTGGTGTGGCGCGGCATGAGGGTAGGAAGCTGTGGGGTGACCGCGGGTGGGGCGTATGTGCGGAGTGCGCGGCCGACCATCAGTAGGGTAAGGCAACTACGATTTCATTCACCAATTCTTTCATTCATGCGTGCTGGAAGTTTTCTACGAACACTTTATCTGTTTATATGTAGTAATTTATGGAAGCATCTGTGTTAACATAACACTATAATAACATTTACAACCGAACGCTACGTTTTTATATAGGTGCCTATAAATTAATCGCAATTATGATCGCCATAATATATATATATATATATATATATATATATATAATATGTATAATATATACATTTAATAAAACGACGCTTAAACGGTGTGTATTACTGAATATGTTTTACTAGCAGGACACCCGGCGTTGCCCGGGAAATAAAGCACTCAGTTGGTGAACACTTTGTTGAAAGAAAAATACCCCCAAAAATATCTTATCTATCTATCTATCTATCTATCTATCTATCTATCTATCTATCTATCTATTATCTATCTATCTATCTTCTATCTATCTATCTATCTATCTATCTTTACTCTAGTCTATCTATCTATATACTATCTATTTATCTATCTATCTATCTGTCTATCTATCTATCTGTCTGTCTGTCTGTCTATCTATCTATTTATCTATCTATCTATTTATATCTGTATAAAATTTGTATATTATAAGCAAGAATTTAATGAAATTCTCACTGTATTGCGACAAAGCATGCAATCACATATTATATTATGATGAATATTATAATAAACAAATGTATAACAAACGATGTTCTACAGCATGTAGCATATATCATGCATTACAAATTTACAACGTACTTTTAGCCATATCTATAGCCTGTTTCAACGTCGGCAATCAACGTTGAAACAACGTTGATTGCGACGTTGTTTCAAGGTTATTTCAATGCCGTTTGCGCCGTGGTAGTTCTTGTAACATAATCCTGAAAAGCGTCAGCGGTGGATCATCTTGCGGATGATAATTGTTAGATGACTTTAAAAATACCGCATTGTAATTCATGTAGAGCACGTTACTTGTAACGAATTAAACGAGAAAATATAAATAGGAAATCATTTGTTGCCCGCTAAGCGGTGCTGCGCGGACGAGAAAGGTATATAAGATTCTAGTAAATGGTAAAGATTGTGTAAACACCAAGAATGTGATGAAAGTTCTGTGTCTGTACAA